TTGAAACCCATCTATTATGGGTTTTATAAACCAAGAGATTATTCTGAGTCTGAAGAAATAGATTTCCCTTTGGAAGTTCTAGGGGTCTAATTTATTATTCTGAAAGCAGGTAAGGGGAGAACTTTTAACATGCCTCTCTTCTATAAACCCTAATTCCAGTGCCACATCTTGAGCTTTCTAGACTTCAGTGTATATGGGACACTGTGTTCCTGCCAACTTCTCCCAGCCAAATGCAATACCCTCTCTGGGCTCTTACTACTCCACAAGGCATCTCAGTGCATCTAAGCCGGTGAGCACTCAGCCGAAGGCAGACGCTTGTGGACACTCTCTCCCTTGGTCTTGAGAATACTCATTCTCTGATTCTCCACTTGACCATCTATTCCTCCTCCCCCTTGCCCCTCAGGCCCCAGTGCCCTTCTGCCCTTGCCCACCAGCCTTACCTGCCACACTCCAACTTTCCCTTTCCCATGGGTTGGCAGAGGAAGAAAGGCAGTGGGTGGGTGGGCCCAAGTCCTTCCCCAGGCTCTCCTGGGACCTGGCTCCAAGAGTGATGTTCAGCAGCATCTGTGGCCACCTTGGGGGCCAGAATGAGAGGTGGCTGTGTGCCTCAGGTGAGAACTGGAAGCTCTGTCCTGGGGATCTTGTCCTCATGGACACTCTCTCTGGGCAAAGTCAAAGCACCTGCTGGGGTCTCCTCAGCTGATTGGAGGTGCCCTGGTGTGCTGTCACTGCATCCTCAGCCTGGGTCCCACTCCTGCCCCAGGGTTCTTCAGCCTGGGTCCCACTCCCCTTACCCAGCGGGGTCCCCCTCAATGAGACCACAGTAAGAAGGACACAAACCTCAGTTCTCTGCCACCCTTTAATGAAACAGACAGTATAGGTATCTTAGAGATGGACTAACTTAGGGTTGGGGTGAGCAGATCATTATATCTGTCCCATGCACTGTAAGAGAGTTGTAAAATGATAGCACAGGAAGGAGGTCTTGGTTGCTTGAAGGCCTGATGGCAGAACTAGGGTGTGTGGGAGTGCTTTCTGAATGCTATTAAGTTAGTGCCTAGGCTTAAGCGCTAAGGAGGGAAGTTGGGGAGGTTGATTTTGGTATTCTGAGACTGGACTCTCCATGGACCCAAAAAGCCAAGGTGAAATCATGAGTGGAATGTAGGAGGTGAGGGGGCTGGAAGGCTTTTTCAGGTGCATCAGAGGAGAGCTGCCACTTCTTTTTTCTTCACCACCACCCTTGTGGGGAATAGAGACTACTTTGCCTTCCACCATCTCTGGGTCTGCTCCCATTTGGGGTCTAGGAACAACCAGACCTGAGCCTCAGTGAGCTGGGTGTACAAGCCCTTTGTCCAGTTAGTCAGAACAAACTGCACGTTCCCCCAGTGACATACAGATGCTAGGGGAGAAAGAAGACAACTCAGATGAAAGGTAAATTCCATTAAAGAAATTGATGGAGGAGGATGACAAAAAACATTTTCTGAGTCCCTAATGTAATTTCTCTTTTAAATAATTTAGTGAATGAATTGAAGGAAGAGATGGTCTTTCTTAATACAAATTAGATTTGAGAAATATCTCAAAACAAGTAGCAAAAATGTAAAGATAAATCAAGAATAACAAAATGTAAATTACTAGAATTTCAGAAGAAATTAACGGATGGGAGACAATAATGAACTAGTAGACAATAATAGACTAGTAGACTATTTCTTGAGCTGTTATAAGAGGCTCAGTGTGTTTCAGGCTAGACCATGCTTCCTCAACAGGGGTGATCTTACCCCTAAGGAGGTGAAAATGAGTTCAGGGGCTGGTAGTGTTGGTGGTGGCAAAAAAAAATCTTACTCTTTTTATGTATAAAGCACAGATACAGTGCAGAAGCAGATATGCGATTTATCTGTGCTATTAAAATTTCATAGGGGGAATTAGGAAAAAATGTCTAAAAAGGCTCCTTAGGTGGGTGATAATGAATAAAAGATTGATAACCACTGAACTAGACTGATGAGAAAGGCCTATGCTGATTTTTTCGCTCTAAGGAAAAAGAGAAAAGTATTACAAACATTAAGCTAAAAAGAACATGTTATGTATAAAAGAAGAATCATGCTGGAATTAGATTTTTTATCTCTAATGCTGGAACAAAGACAGTGAAATGGCAGTTAAGGACTACACCCAACCTCTATCCAGCCACGATGCAGCTCATCCATCAGGGTGAAAGAAAAATACACAGCAACTCAGAATGTCTGTATCTCCCATTTTCCCTACTGACAAAAATACTCGAGAGGAGATTTTTCAAACATTATGATATGTGAACCAGAACAAAATGAGGGCAGGGGAATGTGAAGAAAAGAAAGAAAACAGAGGCAAGCATTGAAGTTTGGATTAAATATTTAAATAATTTATTATGAAGTCTAATGGAAAAAGAAGGTGAGGCTTCAGGCAAAGTCCATTCTAAGTTATAGGGACTCAGACATCAAAGGAACTATCTCCAAGATAAATTAGATTAGGACCACTGAACTAGAATTAACAAAATGTCTCAGCAAAACCTGGGAGTTAGGAATACGGTCAGTGAAAACGAATTAAGAGATTTACAAAATTTGTCTTCAAATAATAGCAGGGAAATGTGATGTGATTAGGAAGGGAAGAGAAAGTGTAGGTAACCATTTAATGGAATGGAAAATCAAAGTAGAACTTCAAAATTAACAAGGACAGAATGGAGTGTATAACAACTTGATAAGAATCTCAAAAATAAAGAAAATCAAGGGCAGAAACAAAAATGTAAAATAAATAAAACATAAGGAATGAAGCAAAGTACAACAGTCCTTACATCAAATGTGTATGGACTAAATTCTGGCATTAAATACATTTTGAAATGTAAAGGGTGAGTGGGCGAAGGCATGACAGAAATTAGCAAATAAAATCAGGATGACAGTACATTCCATACCTAGAGATTCTGATTCAGTTGGTCTGGGATGGGCCCCAGGTGTTGATAATTTTTTTTTTGACCCTCTTAACAATTTTTTTGTGTGTGCAAAACAATATTGTTAATTATGGGCACTATGTACAGAATATCTTTAGAACTCAATCATCTTGCATAACTGAAACTTTACATCCATTCTACAGCATCTGTAGCCACCTTGGGGGCAGAATGAGAGGTGGCTCCCCATTTCTCCCAGCCCCTGGTAACTGCCATTCTACTCTCTGCTTCTGTGTGTTCTCTTTAGATTTAAGCAATAAAATCATTTGATAAAATTGGCCTTTTTGATGGTTTTGAAAAATGAGATCTATGTTGGTAGGTTCTTTGAGATATCTTTAACTGACTAGCCAGATTGCACTGATTCAAAAAGCCATATACAGTACTCTTTTTAAAAATTTTTTGGGGTGCCTGGTTGGCTCAGTTGTTAAGCATCTGCCTTCGGCTCAAGTCATGATCCCAGGGTCCTGGGATGGAGCCCTGCATCGAGCCCCGCATTGGGCTCTCGACTCTGCAGGGAACCTCTTTCTCCCTCTCCAGCTCCCCCTGCTTGTGTTCCCTCTCTTGCTGTCTCTCTGTCGAAAAATAAATAAAATCTCTAAAACAAATTTTTAAAAAAAGATTTTATTTATTTATTTTGAGAGAGAGAGTGCACAAGAGAGCATAAACAGAGGGGAGGGGCAGAGGGAGAGGGAGAAGCAGACTCCCCGCTGAGCAGGATGCCCAAGATGCAGGGCTCCATCCAAGGACCCTGGGATCATGACCTGAGCCAAAGGCAGATGCTTAACTGACTGAGCCACCCAGGCGCCCCACCATACAGTACTCTTAGTTGACATTTATATAGCTGTAACAAGATGTCCTTAAAAAACACTTTATTGAGGTATGATTGACATACAAAAAGCTGTTCATATTTAATGTATACAACTTGATGAGTTTGGAGATAAATATACATCTGAGAAACCATCTCCACGATCTGTGCCATGAACATATCATTTCCTCCAGAAGTTTCCTTCCTTTCTTCCTTTTTCCTATCCCTCCTCTCTAGCCAAATACAAAAGTAAACCGACAGAGATAACTCCAGATTTAAAAATGCTCCCTCTGGTAGCAGCACCCTTGTCAGGGGAACTAGAGGTACAAGTGATTTAATCATCTATTGTTCTAATGATTAGATTATGGTTAGCATGATTAGATTGTACTCCACTTGATCAAATTGAATCAATCAAGAAGTCCTAGAAGTCTCCACACACTCCTTGAAGGTGACCTGGTTCCTGTTCTGGGACACTTTGCTAGTTGGAAGTTCAAAGCCTGATTTTCCTTGAGAATCGTGATTTTAAGAGTATTAAATGCAGACAACGCTGTGTTGTAACTTTTAATATACTATCAGCAGGGATGTTGTCCAGCATGTGATTTGTTTGCATTGATGAACAATTTTATAAATTTTTGGGCAAAACTACGTACAATCATCCTATGGTTTACACAATTGCATTTCTAGAAAATCCAAATGTATGTTAATGTGCAAGGATACTTATATGTCATTGTATGTAGAATTGAATTGGATGTAAGTTCAAAACCTCAAAACAGATTTTCCACCCATATTCCTGACCAGGTCACTGCAGAGCAGTGACATGCTTACAGTTAGCCTAGTTGACCTGGTCACTGTCAACCTCAGCCCTCATTCCCCATGTAGACCAACCCGGCCAACTGCAGGTTTCACATCCCTGTGTTGGGTGGCCACACCCTCATCGAGATTCAGTGGTTTAGTTGGGATTCAATGGCTTAGTGGAGGTAATCACCTCACAGTTGTTGTGATTAGGTTATGGGCTCAGGATCAGAGGACACTCCACCCGCTGAAACCGAGTTCATCAGGAAGTCCTGGAAAGTCTCCGCCCACACCGTGGAGGTGACCAAATATAATAAGCCCCCTGTCTGTCCTCAGACACTCTGCTGGTCGAAAGAGCTGAACCAGGTGGTCAGCCCCCTGGCCGCAGCGCCCCCGCAGCCGCCCCCGCAGCCTCCGCAGCCTCCAGAGGCCACCACCATGCCCTCGTCCCCGCTCAGGGTGGCTGTGGTGTGCAGGAGCAATGTGAACAGGAGCATGGAAGCCCACAGCATCCTCCTCAAAAGAGGGTTCCACGTCCAGTCTTTCGGAGTCGGATCTCGGGTGAAGCTGCCAGGACCCTCAAGCAATCGCCCGGTGATCTACGATTTCTCCACGACGTATAAGCAGATGTACGAGGACCTTTGCAGGAAAGACCGGGAAGGCTACAGCAGGAACGGAATCCTGCACCTCTTGGGGAGAAACGAGAGGATCAAGCCGCGCCCCGAAAGGTTTCAGGAGTGCAGCGACCCCTTCGACGTCATCTTCACCTGCGAGGAGAGTGTGTATGACCGAGTGATGCAAGAGCTGTGGGCCAGGGAGCAGGCGACCTTCCAGCCCGTGCACGTGGTCAACGTGGACATCGCAGACACCTTGGAGGACGCCACCCTGGGGGCTTTTCTCATCTGCGAGCTGTGCCAGAGCCTCCAGCGGGCGGACGACGTGGACAGTCTGGAGGAGCTGCTGCTGGCCGCGGAGGAGAAAACAGGAAAGAGCTTTCTTCACACGGTCTGCTTCTACTGAAGGTCGTGGCTGGAGTTGGCGCCTTCGTTAGGTAACTTTCATGTGGCGTTTTGGACTAGTCCGTATTTTCTGAGAAGGGCTTTTAACGCCCTTTCCGCAAACTTCTGTTTGTGCGATTTTTAGGTATATGCCACCAGGGAAGAGTTGAGCAAGAAAAAGCATTTCTTGGGAAACGAGGACAAGGGCTAGTAGTCATGGAAACAGTCCAAACCTGGGGACATTGTTCTGGGTACTTTGGGCACAAGAAGTAATTCAGCGCTCACGTGGGTCTGCGAGGACATGACTGCCACGGCCTGCACTTTGCAGATGAGCGAAGGAAAGTTTATAATGGAGTGCGGGACAAGTGATTTGTTGAAGGATATTCAGCGAATAAACAACATTGAAAGGCAGCTGCTGGCCCGACTGATCTCTGAACATAAGGGAGATCCTGCACTGCTTGAATGTAAGAAGCAGCGCGTGCGGCAAGGGACCCAGACTGGACGAGGCCTCATTTGACCTGTGCACGTGCGCACGCACGGACTGACTTTGCTTTGGTTCCTTAACCTCTTACCCCTTGTTGTATGTTTGCTGTGTGACTTTGTATTGTGCTTTGCTTTGTGTGATGTGTATAAAGCCAGACTAAATGTGTAGTGAAATGTCATTGAGTTTGGAATCCTGAACCTGCTTTACCCTTGCTTTATGGTTAAATAAAGCTGACATTGTGCAGAGACACAACTCGTACTTGCCTTTCTAGCATGCTCGCGACGGTACCCACTCTGCACCAACAGGAAAAGAGACATCCTTAACACCAGCGGTGAGAAATTTAGAGCTGAGAAGTCTGTACAAACAACCCTTGTTGCTTGGCACTAATCAACTGCCCCAGCCTGAGTTCTGTTTAGAATTCCTTACTAATTGAAACTCCTGAAATTAGATTTTCTTTATCCTGTCAATTCATTAGAGATTTATTGTCTCTTTGTCTAAAAAATATAAAAACTACCTGCCTTGGTCATTTCTTTAGGTCTTAGGTTCATTATTTGGCTTCTGTGAGCAAATAAAACTGATTTTTCCCCCCTGTTCATCTATCTCATGTCAATTTAATTCTTAGTACAGCTGGAACACTTTGACTGGTAGAAAAGATTTTTTCCTTCTCTTCACTAATATGATTTTTTAGAAGAGCATAAAGTATGGAGAACTAGCTAGGATAATATACTTATATGCATTTACATCAAATGACACATTTTTTTTTTTTCCTGAAGGTGGGATTACTTTCTTCTTCTTGTCTTCTGATTAAAAACAATAATGTACAAGATTGCTTTTATAATCAGAATATAAAGTTATTTCCAAGTTGAAAAAAGTTCACATCCTACATTCAGGATGAGGAAAATGAAATAAAATTACTTATAAAAGAATATAAACAAAGCAGGAGAATTTTTTCTTCTAGCAACCATAAATGTGGATTTTTGATGACCAAGCACTAAACAGAATGATACACTAGGTAGGCAAATGAAATAAAAATGTGTCATGAATCTCAAGAATCCCATGTGATCTACAAGTTATGCATGGATGTTTATAGACCCTTAGGAAAGAATGAAAATTCATTATTTATGGCTTCAAAATGTGAATCTCATCACCAATCCCGGGATGAATATAACTGCAACATCATCCTTTACATGAAAAACAAAAATTTGAAAATCATCTTTGCATATTACATGTATTGATATTGTAGATTGAAAAAATTACTATTCATTAATTCAATATTTAATGCCAGTGTAAGTATTAAAAGAGGTCTGTAGCAAGCCTGGTTTAGCTGGGAGAGCTTTTTTTGTAGTGAATATCTTAAATGTGAACACTCAGTGTGGGATGGAGATTAGAGCAGGTGGGGAGGAGTGGGCAAGAAGCTAGTCAGGAGAAGGCCAGGGAGGGAAATGGCACTTAGGGACCTGGGATCCAGGCATTTGGAGGAGGGCAAGGCTGATGGAGACAGCCGTGTCCCTGGGGCCCTGATGTAAGCACTGCCCTCAAGAGCTCTCATGAAAGAGAATAAACAGCCCAGTGCCTGGCTCCCAACAAGCTGAATGTCATCTCCAATTTCAGTAAGAGCTGGTGAGTAAATTAGACATGTGTGTAGAGGGGCAGGTTCCAGGATCAAGGTAAGGATTGGACTGATGTCACATCCCAGGAAGGCCTGGGGGTGGGGGGACAGGACTTCCGTGCACCAAGAATGGTAAAGACCAGAGATACCAATCTGGTTGGTTACAGCAGCAGTGGAGGGGTTGGTCTGGGAAGGGAGGTTGAGAGTATATGGGTAGCTGAGGTTAATGAAGGTTGCTCAAGAAAGAGAAGTAATCCAATATGTGGCAAGTGCTCTAATGTTTAGGTTAGACATGAGAAAACAGAAAAGATAATGACGTACTTCAAACCCTTCTTGGCAAACATGACAAGAGCCCAGAGAATGACTGGTATCTCTGTTGGGCTTCCCAAAGCAGGGCTTGGGAAGCAGACCAGGACATCTCAGGCAGGTGTGAGGAGGGAACTATGGGGGAGGGGCATTGAACGGGATGTTGAGGATGAACTTGTGTCAGACCAAAGTCATCCTAATTTGGTCAGGAGACCAATTGAGCAGGCAAATCCTCAACCTCTGAGCTCCCTGCCTTCTCTCACTGGCTCCTATTAATAAAATGTCTTCGGGATGCCTGGGTGGCTCAGTCACTTAAGCGACTGACTCTTGATCTCAGCACAGGTCTTGATCTCAGGGTTGTGAGTTCGAGCCCAGCACTGAGCTCCACCCTGGGCGTGGAGCCTACTTAAAAGAAAAAAAAAGTTCAAAAAATAAATTTTTTTCTGCTACTCCGTTTCCCCAAACACATGACCATCACCAGCTCCTGTAATCTGCCCCCTCTCCAGCCCTGCCTTTATTGGTTTGTGTCTTCTATGGCCTCTTCCTTCTTGCCATTTTCTTCTTTCCTTTCCCAATCAGGTCTGTGGGGCACACACCAGCCCTCACATCCCTCCGATGCCATACACTGGTTTTCCTGCAGATCAGCTGCCCTCACTGGAGAGAACGTTCTCACAGAGCAGCCATATGCTCTATAGGAGACAGTGCCCTGACCTAGGCCAGCTGAATGGACTTCTTTGGTGACTCTGATGGCAGAACACTTTCTCCCAGCACTTGGAGGATGGAAATTGGAGCTGATTTTTTTCCCCAGAAAGAAAAATCAGGGGCACCAAGAGGATAACTGGAATGGAAGAAATAATGTTCTTGAGTGTAAGATATACCTTAGCTACTAAGCTAGATATTTTTAAATACCCCTTCACGAGGGGGAATTAGCATTTGCCTCCACTTCTTCAAACTTTCTGCTTACAAATTTGATTTTCTCTCAAACCATGAGGGCAGAACTCAGGCCAATTCCCATTGCTTCTATTTCCCCCGTTTATAATATGGTGCCTGAAAAATAGTTACTGCTTCCTGAATGACCAAGTGAATGAATGAATGGATGAATGTATACTAAGAATAACTGATAAAATTTCCACCTCCAGAAAACCTCCCAGATATCATGCATATCCCTTTCCAGCAATAATACTTTATTTTCCAAATTCAGTCATTTCTGAACTTAGTTTCCTAAGGTGTGAGCACAAGCAGTGCCTTATTCAGGTACACAGATTCCGTCAATGTTACTTCTTAAAGGTCTGTTGACTCTCTCTGCAAGTGAGCTGATAATGTGGTGAAGTCAGAGAGATTTCAAATCTCATTTCCATCAATTAGGCCAAATATGCCTGTACAAACACCACCGTGCTTTCTTCAGCATTCCCTATGCACAGCTAACTGGAGCTGAATAAACACTGTTCAGTGAACAGGCCATATTTGGATTTGAATACCCACATTTTCTTCTCTTGTTTCCCTCCCTTTTCATTCTTTTCCTTATGATGAACTACCTATTACAAGGTCAAGTTCAAGAAACATCTTGTTACGTAGCCTTTCCAGATACATATAATGATTTCCTTTGTATATTCATAATCCTCTGTTTGTAGGAGAAATACATACAATAATGTATTTTATTTGATTAGCTGGGTATATATATATATGTCAAATTAGACTATCACTCATTGAGGTAGAGAATATGTCCTAGTGACTTCTTATGTTTCTTAGTGTTTGCATGTTCACAGAAGATGGAGAGTGTGAGATATGCCAAAAGCTCCTAGTGTCTTCACAAAGAATATTGCAAGAAAACTTGTATTTTCTACTCTGTCTATGAATTGAAGTATCTCTGGTAGTCTCCACAGGTATGATTTCCCTAAACCACACTGGTGTTGGCCACATGATCTTCCACTTCCTGGGCATCCCTGGGCTAGAAGACCAGCACATGTGGATTTCCATCCCCTTCTTCATTTCCTAGGTCATCGCCCTGCTTGGGAACAGCCTGCTCATCTGCCTTATCCTCATGAAGTGCAGCCTCCGTGAACCCATGTACCTCTTCCTCTGCATGCTGGCCGGAGCGGACATTGTCCTCTCCACGTGCACAGTACCTCAGGCCTTGGCCATCTTCTGGTTCCATGCTGGGGAGATCTCCCTGGATCGCTGCATTACTCAATTCTTCATCATCCACTGCACTTTCATCTCTGAGTCAGGGATCTTGCTGGTGTTGGCGTTTGACCACTACATTGCCATATGCTACCCACTGAGATACACCACTATTCTTACATGTGCTCTGATTGGGAAAATTGGAGTAACTGTCTGAGAAGTTATTGTACAATTTTCCCCATAATATTTCTTTTGAAAAGATTGACTTTCTGCCAAAATAATATTATTCCACACACCTTTTGTGAACACATTGGTTTGGCCAAATATGCTTGTAATGACATTTGAGTGAACATCTGGTATGGACTTTTTGTCATCATGTCGACAGTGGTCTTAGATGTCCTGTTAATTTTTGTTTCTTATGTGCTGATTCTCCATGCTGTCTTCCACATGCCTTCCCGAGATGCTTGCCACAAAGCTCTTAACACATGTGGCTCCCATGTCTGCATCATTGTCCTCTTTTATGGGCTTGCGATCTTTACAACCCTTACTCAGCAGTTTGGACGCCACAGTCCACCTCATATCCACATCTTTTTTTTTTTTTTTAAAGATTTTATTTATTTATTTGAGACAGAGAGAATGAGAAAGAGAGCACATGAGAGGGGAGAGGGTCCGAGGGAGAAGCAGACTCCCTGCCGAGCAGGGAGCCCGATGCGGGACTCGATCCCGGGACTCCAGGATCATGACCTGAGCCGAAGGCAGTCGCTTAACCAGCTGAGCCACCCAGGCGCCCCTCATATCCACATCTTATTGGCTAATGTCTGCATTCTGGTTCCACCTATGCTGAACCCCATCATTTATGGGTTTAAGACCAAGCAAATCCAGGAGCAGGTTGCTTATGTATTTTTTCCAAAGCAGAAATAACTTTGGCAAAGGAATAGCATTTTTAGCATCTCTAGTTATCCATGATGTGGTCTGTGGAAGCAGTGGGTGGAAACACTAGGGTAAGCTGAAACACTAGGAAATAGCTCAGTGAATTCTATTTTTGGAGCATGTTCACCAGGAGGGTGACAAGACTTGTATCTTCTACAGTCAAAGCAACAGAGA